TAATTATATATAAGATAGATTTTAATAATTAAGATGTAATTATTATTTTTGAGAATGTGGTTTGTTATTTTTAAACCAAAACATCTTTGAGGTAGACAAATAAGTACACCTTAAAACATCTTGAAAGTAAACTAAAACCAAAAAAGGTATTCAACAAATAGGTAATCAGCATTTGAAAGTTTTGTGAAACATTTAATAAACTTGGAGACACTGTTTAATAGATTTTAAAATAATTAGGGTACCCATTTATAAGGCCTTTGAATGTATCATCAAAATATTTATAAATTTGCACACGTGTACTTTGATTAGGAATGCCAAAACTAAAACCAGTAATGTTTGGGCACAACAGAACAATGAGGAAGGAAAAAGCTAAAATGGCCGCAGTTCAAAAACTGTTCTGGCACAAACAGTGCATGAAAACAGTGGTCACAGACACAGACCCCACAACCACATGAAGTCCAGGTGTACCAAAGAGCAGACGACCGAAAGCTTGTAGCTCTAGTTCTTCAGTATTTAAAAGACTTGGTGCTGTAAAAGAAAGGGTAAGTTTGCCACATAGATTTGAAGTAGCATTTTTTTTTTTCTTTTAGGAGCCAAATAACTTTTCTTTCTTTCTTTTTTGGTCTTTTAAAGACAGGGTCTCCCTGTAGCCCCAGCTGTCCTGGAACTCACTATGTAGACCAGGCTGGCCTTGAACTCACAGAGAACCACCTGCCTCTGCCTCCCGAGTGCTGGGATTAAAGGTATGCGCCACCACACCTGGCTGTTTTTCATTTTTTACTTATAGAAGAATTTACTAAAACAGAAGCTTTAGGACAGAGCCATGATGTAGCTTTAGAGCCTGCATGGAGGTCAGATACGTGATGGGGAGTGGAAGCTTTGGAGAAAACTAAAGCAGCAGAAGGTGGTGGGCAAGCGAAAGCGTCAGTGAAGCACGTTTAAACAAGGCCATAAAGAAGACATCTCTGAAAAGTGTAGACAAGCAGGTAGACTTACAGAGGTTTAAACATTTATAGCCGGGTTTATAAGCAGAACAAGAGTTACGAGAGGGGGAGAGAGGATCTGGAGCATTTTTCCTGTGTAGGGAATCCATAACTAGTTAGAGGGAGGAGGAGAGATTAAAGGATGGAAGCAAAGGAGACCTAAAATTGGGTAGCACGGTATCAGAAGTCATCCTGAGCAAAGTGAGGAGGACAGACACTGGAAGAGGACAAAGACGGGAACGATGGAGACAGACAGCCTTCCGAGCCCACGGCAAAGGGAGGGGAGGAAGGAAGGAGTCCCATCGGGCCCAGTGGGAAGCTCCAGGAGCTCCCAAGCCATCTAAGTCTTAGTGGAGAGAGAGGGAGAAGAGACGGAGGTGGGAGAGAGAGAGGGAGAGCAGATCCAGAGCTCTGTGGGAGAGCACTTACCCAAACTCTGTCATTGGGTGAGGAATGCAGATGGACTCATAATCTCAGGCCTGATGTGGTGAGTGGTGGGAGCCGGCATGGGTAAGCTGGTTGCAGGAGTGCATGGTCAGTAGCATGGTTTGGTAAGAGGGAACCGGGTCATAAGTAACCCAGTCATTCCTCTTCCTGGGTTCGGCACCATATGTTAGATAAAAGCTGGGCAGGGAATGGCCATAGGAAACACAGGAAGACTCCAGGAAAGCAAAGTTGATTTCTTAGGATTGCTGGTGGCTGGCAGTTCAGCTGGGGAGAGAAAGGCAACCACAGCTGCTGACTGCTGAGGAAGTTCTTATAGGGGGCTTGGGGGATGTGGGAGGGGGCAAAAATAATCTTTAGTTTCAAGGGAAGGAGCTTGAACTGAGACAGCTCTTACATCAGTGGGTCTGGGTGCAGGGTCCTGTTTATCTTCCAAAATGATCTGGGGAACAGCTTTGTGCTGAGACAGCTCTAAATGTGCCTGTCTGGCCAGTTTCTGTTTTGCAAGGGGGGCCCTCCATGGCCTGTGTTGTGAGGCTTTTTTACTCTGGGAGAAGGTTGTCTGCAGACCTGGACTCTTAACAGTAGGTAGTTTAGGGAAGAAGATAAAGAAATTGATCCACTGACTTTGGAAAGGAAAATAGCTCAAAATGAAAAAAAGCAATCCAAATAGCCTCTACTGTTCAGGAAAACATTGCCTAGTGTTGGAGAGGAGAATTGGACGCTGTGAGGAGGTGTGGCTGGGAGGGAAGAAATTAAAAGGGCAGTAAAAAGAGGCTAATGAGGTAGAGCATGCTGGCAATCCCAGCTGCTTCACAGAGGCATTTGAGTTTGAGGTCAGCCTGTAACATAACCAGATCCTGTCTCAGGTTGAGGATGTATCCCAGTTGGTGGAGTGTTTGCCTAGCATGCAGAATGTCTCGGGTTTGATTCCCCATGGCTGCATAAAACCAGGTGTGGTAGTGCATGTAATGTCAACAATCCTGAAGCAGGATCAGGCGCTCAAGGTCATCTTCAGCCATATAGCAAGTCTGAGGTGGTCCAGGCTACATGGGACTCTGAGGAGAAAAAAATCTTGTTTCACTTAAAATACATGTGTGTGATCTATGCATCTATCTATGGATCCATGTATGTATGTATGCATGTATCAATCATCTATTTATTTTTTAACTTAAAAAAACTTTGAGAATTTCATACATGCATATAAAGTATTTCAGTCAAATCCACTCCCATTCCCTTGCCTCCAAAACCTCCCATATTCTTTCTCTCTAACATTCCCCCCTCCGAAGAAGTAGCCCTAAAATCTTTTAGGGATTAGATAAGAGCTCCCAAATACTTTAGACATTTTTGGCCTTGGTAACAGAGTATGTTGCTAAGAGGCCCAAGGGCATTTTGATTTTTAGCCAAGAAACTACCTACTTTTCTTTGGGGCCTATTTACTCCTAACAACCTGGCCAATTCCTACCTCCTATTCTTATCACACCATCCTCTGAAGGGGTTACCCAAATTGCTGATAGGGAATCCGGGATGCAGACCACTCTGGCATCTTCCATGCTGAACAGGGACACAGGGTGAGGCAATAGGGGTACCCCTTCAGTAGGTCTATCTAAAGACTCCCAAATTGTATAACTCTTATCTGTAGGGAGAAAAGAAAAAAAATTGGTTTGTTTATTAAGACACGCACAACTGTGCCTGGTTTATGCAGTGCTGGGGCTAGAACCCAAGGCCTTGTGCATGCTAGGCAAGCATTCTACCCAGCCCATGAGATCACTTTTCTAATATTAACAAATACTTAATGGGTCTTACAATACAGCACCCTTAGCACTGTTAATGAGACTACAAAGTCTAAGGACAAGAAGTGTAGCCAGGGTTATTACTTAAATTCACTGTTCTTTACCACATCATTCCTATAAACAGTTTGAGACAGTGGCTTGTGGCATCTTTCCCAGTTACATCTAGTAGTTAGTGCTGTACATACCTGCACATGTTTGGCGCACACTGAATGTATTCTTCAGTATTTAGTGATGGTGAAGATCTACACGACAGCATTTTCTCCTGTGACTGGTTCCAAAGCTGTCTGAGGAAGCAAGGTCTACACTCGGCAGCCTTGGTCTGCCCACACCCTTCTCAGTGCCTCCACTGCTCTGCTACTGCAGGCTTTCTCGGGGTATCTCTGTGGCCCCAGTCAGGGCTCCAAGGGCCTCTGGGGCTCAGCAGGGATTTGGGGAGCCAGCGGGCTCTCTGGTTATACTTGGGCATGTAGCCTACTTCCTTCCTGACACCTGAGGTTCTTGTCCAGCTCTGGAGCATCCATATTTTGGATGTTTCCAGTTTTTAAAATAATTTTTCCCCTTAAAAGATTTTTAAGGGTCTGGAGAGATGGCTCAGAGGTTAAGATCATGACTGCTCTTGCAGAGGACCTGGGTTCGATTCCTGGCACTCACATGGCAGCTAACAGCTTGTCAATAACTCCAGTTCCAGGGAATCCGAAGCCGCCTTCTGACCTCTGAGCATTGCACAACATAGGCGTACTTACACACATGCAGGCAATACATTCATATACATAAAATAAAAAAATAAAAAATAAAAAGTATATTTAAAAGCCCGGCGTGGTGGTGCTCGCCTTTAATCCCAGCAAAGGCAGGTGGTCTCTGTGAGTTCAAGGCCAGCCTGGTCTACATAGTGAGTCCCAGGCCAGTTGGGACTCAGGGAGACCCTGCCTCAAAAAACAAAAAGTTAAAAGAATTTTTTTTATCAGTGCTTGTTTGCATGTATGTAAGTGAGCCATGTACTTACAATATTGAGGGTAGAAGAGGGAGCCCCTGGAACTGGCGTTAAGGACAGTTGTTAGCCAACATGTGGGTGCTGGGAACTGAATCTGGGTCCTCTGCAAGAGTAGCCAGTGCTCTTAACAGCTGAGCCATCCCATCTCTCTAGTTCTTCCTCCTCATGTTAAAGTGCTCATGTTGAAAATTTTTAAAATGCAAGAGAAATCTCATATTTTAAAAATGATTTTTAAATTTTACTTATTTTCATTTCGTATGTATGAGTGTATTGTCTACATATATATCTACATAAGTGTACCTTTGTTGTGTGGAGGTCAGAAGAGGAAGTTGGATCTCTTGGAACTGGAGTTACTGATGGTTGTTAGCTGCCATGTGATGCTGGAAATTGAACCTGAGTCCTCTGCAAGATCTCAGCAGTAGGAAAGCGGAAGCAGGCGGATCTCTTGGCCAGCCAGGGCTACACAGTGAGACTGCCTTAAAAACAAACGGGCGCCCTTTGCTTCCCTGGGCTGCACAGCTTCCCGTGTCCTGGTGCCAGCACCTTTCCTGGGGTTATACTCAGTTCAATATGGTATAACTGTATTAATTCTACTGTGAACCTAAAAATTTACAGCCACTTTTGAAAGAGATGTATCTTTGCTCTGGAAATTGTTATTGAATATGTTAAAGCTGTAAAGCAATGCTTCTTCTAATCATGTGGTTATTAAATAAATTAAAAAAATAAAACTACAGAGCAACCAACAATAGAAAGATAGGCTCTGTGAAGTTTAGTAGAAGTCAATAAGAGAGTGAAGATGAAGAGTGGGCTACCCTGACCCAGGGCAAATGGACAGGGTGACCGCATGTTTCAGACAGGAAGCACCAGGACTAGGGTTGGTAGGAATGTGGAAACATTTCTAGTTGGTGGTCCTAGGCGTCTCTTGCTTGTCATGGGTTGTGGCATTATCTGAAGGAAGAGCATACGGTGAAACTGCTCAGATTCTGAAGATGCCATCTAGCCAGAGTTTGCCATCTCACTCATGTCTATGCGGGGCCAGGTGAGCCAATGGAATAAGGGCGTAATTAGCAAGTGTCACTTCCTGTCATGATGGCCAAATACCTAACCTACCTTTTAACCTACCTAACCTCCTACTCTGTGGTCTCTGAAGATGCCCTTGGGTTAAGACTGAAGTCATCTCAAGATGAAGTTTAGATCCCAGACACTTCCAGAACACTCAGGAATGCAGAGAAGTAGCCATGTTGGTTTCAGGGCAGGGGAGAGATAAATCCACATTGTGCTGCAAAAAAAGAAAAAACAAACAGGCTGGACCCCCGGGCATTGCACAACACGGGTGCACTTACACACATGCATGCAACACACCTATATACATAAATAGCATACGACAAGCAAAACTCAGTGTTTTTGTACTGTCACATAGTTTTCAGACTGAAGCTTGAGCCTGTGGTCTCCTGTCTCTTGAAAATGTCTCCTAGATGGGCTTGTTCCACGTGTCCCACTCAATGGGCCACACCTAGTGAAGTCATTTAGATTGCTGTCATTCTCGTCAGCTATAAATGGTGCTGCGGTCGCCATCTTTGTCCTTATGTCATTAGCACAGTTTTTCCGGTGTTTTGAGACAGTCTCACTATAGCCCAGGCTGGCCCCTAACTTATGGCAGGCCTCCTTGCCTCAGCCTCCCAGGTGCTTGGATTTAAAAGGGTGAGTGCCATCACCCCTTGTTTATGTAGTGCTGAGATGGAGCCCTCAGGGCCCTTTGTTCAGGCGTGGCAAGCACTGCTGATTTGGCTACGTCTGCAGTCCCTTAGCCAACATCTAAACAGACCGAGCAGGACTTGTACAGTATGAGTCTGTCCTTAAAGGAGGAGCGTGTGCCAAGGCCTGTGTATGACCTGGCTAGGCGAAGCCTCAGCCTGCCTGTTGGGGCCTGTACTTAGGTCATGATCACAGGAGTCTGTTGCTTTCTGACTTCATAGCACTCTGGTGTGAGTGGTAAACTCATGTGCTTTAATACTCTTTCTTTAGTCTGAGGAAGATTATATCGAGAGGAGGAGAGAAGTTGAAAGCATCCTGAAGAAAAACTCAGATTGGATATGGGATTGGTCAAGTCGGCCAGAAAACATCCCCCCCAAGTAAGTCTGTTTCCAGTCATGTGGTGTCTTCCTTGACAGGACACATTGACTGATGCTTTCTTTCCACCCCAGGGAGTTCCTTTTTAAACACCCAAAGCGTACAGCGACTCTCAGCATGAGAAACACGAGCGTTATGAAGAAAGGGGGCATTTTCTCAGCAGACTTTCTGAAGGTTTTTCTTCCATCCCTGCTGCTCTCTCACTTGCTGGCCATTGGACTGGGGTAGGTGATGCTCGAGGCCTGGCTGGCTGCACCATGGGCTAGTCTAGGCCCCAGGACTTTGATTTTACATTTTTTATCAACTACAGATCATAAGTTTAGAGCTTGCTGCATGTTCACAAACCTGTCCCCAGGTCACTGTTTAGGTCAAGAAGTGAAGTGCCAGCGCCCAGAAGCCCTGCCTCTTCACCCACCACCTCATCCTGCACAGGGGATCTTGTGCCCAGCCTCTTGGCTGTGCCAGCTCTGTGGTGGGCGCTGGTTCTGTTTAACACTCGGTGATAGTGAACAAAGAAGCTCCAGTTTTCTGCTTTTGTGTTGAGTGTGGAGTAAAACGGACCAGGGAGTGCATCTTTGGGTTCCCAGGATGGTAACGGTGCTGAAGAGCCAGGCTGAGGGAACACCAGTAACCGGGTCTCCTGTTTCCTGGGCTGGCCTCAGATTCACTGTGTAGGCAAGGATGACCTTAAACTTCTGATCCTCCTGCCTTTACCTCCCAAGTGCTGGGATCACAGTCATGTGCAATAGCACCTAGTGGTGCCGGGAGCTCACAGAGATCCACCTACCTCTGCCTCCTGAGTGTTGGGACTAAAGGCGTGTGCCACCATGTCCAGCTCCTGTCCTCTTTTTGAGACTTTCCATCCTCCCCAAATAGTACCCACTGCTGCCTGCCTGGGGAAATGGGCTTCATTTCTTACTCCCTGGCTCAGCTTTGAGTTGGTGATGAACTGACAGTGAAACCTGCCCACCTGGGGTGCTGCTCCACAGGGCAGTTGTACTGATGGAAACCAAAGCTGCTCTGTAGTGTGATAGCATTTTGAGTTGATTTGTACTCACTGTGGTGCTTTTGGGTGGAGGTGGGGGGAGGCTGGGGCTTCACTCTGGAGCCGTGTACATGGTAGACAAGCACTCTACCATTGAGCTCCAACCCCAGCTATCAGAACCTTGTTTGTGCTTTTAGTCTCTTGCACTGTTAGAATTGGACTTTTAAAAATTATACCAATTTCCAGGTGTGGTGGTGCACACCTTTAGTTCCAGCACTCAGGAGGCAGAGGCAGGCAGATCTCTGTGAGTTCAAAGCTAGCCTGGTCTACATAGTGAGTTCCAGGCCAGCTGGAGCTACAAGGAGACCCTGTCTCAAAAAGACCAAAAACAAACAATAACAATAACAAAAAACCAACAAAAAAAAGAAACATACTTGATGAGTAAAACATTTGATAAAGATTACAGAGAAATGGGGCTAGAGAGGTGGCTCAGTGGTTAAGGATATCTGGCCCTCTTGCAGAGGACCCAAGTTTGGATCCTGGCACCCATACCCATGTCAGGCAGTTCACAAGTGCCTGTAACTCCAGCTCCAGGGGATTCAACACCTCTGGTCTCCCAGGGCACTGTACTCATATCCATATACCCACACACACATATATATTTTAATATTTATTATTTTATGTGTATGCATGCATTGCCTGCATGTAGGTAAGTGCACTCGTGCCGTGCAATGCCTGCAGAGGTCAAAAAAGGCTGTCGGATCCCTTGGGACTGGAGTTACAGACAGTTTGTGCTAGGATTCAAACCCGGGTCTTCTGCAAGAACAGTCAGTGCCCTTAATCGCTGAGCCATCTCTCCAGACCGCCATACACATAATTTTTAAGAAAATCTAAAAGATTACAAATTGTCAGATGATCAGTTAGTTATAAGGTGGCCAGTCCCCATCCATAAGCTGTGGAACCTGTAACCATAGTGACTGAGCAGTGTAAAGTTTGTTCCCTAAGTGTTGTGAGACCTGATTAACTGCCAGTTTCTTTTCTGTTAAGGATCTATATTGGGAGGCGTCTGACAACCTCCACCAGCACCTTTTGATGAGAATTGAATCTGACGTTTCCCACAGTGAAGATTCACACGTGAGCTCTGATAGCCAACTGAAGAGCTGTGGTCCTTGGGTGGCTGCACTGCTTATGTTAATTTGTTCTGTAAATGCGGTTCCTGATTCAGTAAGACAAAGACCAGACACTAAAATCATGACCTATAATTATACCCATGGGATCAATTAACACGCATGTCAGACTGCCTACTGTAGCATTTGGTAGTAAGTTTTCTTCGGATACTAGGTATAAATACTATAAATTTAATGTAGCAGCAGTGGTGTATGTATTTAAAATGATCTGTAATCTTAACTCAGTTCAGACACACTTCAGCAGAATGAGTAGCTGCTAATGAAATCACCTTACAGGGTTTGTCCAAGAGGAATATTGTGGCCTTATAATTCAATTACATAGTAGAAAATACCACACATTTATCTTAAGTGGGTGCAGGGTGTCTGTAAAGACCTTAACTATGTGAATCGTCAGTAATAATTGAAGCCAGGGTCCACCCACACCTACTGTGCAGTTCTAGGCTGTGCAGTTTTGTTAGCAGGATGAGGACTCCAGCTTGGCTGTCAGCTGTCACCTTGCGGCCAGGTCTGCTGCCGGCACCCAGTATCTGCCGCTCTTCATCACTCTGCTGGATTGGACTCTTGTGTGCTCTTAAGGTCAGCTGCATTGTAAACACATTTGCTTTAAATGACTGGAAATAGGAAATAAATCTTCGCCAACTCCTTCAGAGTTACTGAACTTGCCTATGGGTTAAGACCAAATACCCCAAACTTCTATGAAACTAAGCCTTCTCCAGGGGCTTACTCTTTCCTATGAGTGATGTTTTTAAAGGCTGCCTCTTTGATGTGCTGTGTATATCCTGTTGAATTTGTTTCATTATCTTACACACTTAGGTGTGTTAAAATAAAGGTAACATCTTAAGGGTTAATAATCTGTTTATATTTAAATGGTTACCTTGGAAACAGATGCTTGTATAGCTCTTCCATTTAGAGACAGATTGTGGAATGGTACCAAAATTTCTTATAATTCATTCTCCAAAAGAACAGAGTCCAAAGCCACAGGTGAATGTCTTCTTATTAGAGCAGACACACCTGTCTTAGATCAGCACATCTGCCTGTCCTAAGTGCCCTGGTGGTGGCCCTTTTGAGGTTATGGAACAAGCAGCTGCTCAGCAAAACTCCCACCCACCATTGGGCAGTTGGGGCCCTAGACAGAGCTGGTCGGTTGTCTCTCCCCACGGGTGGCACCAGCTGCATTCCAGAACCAGCTGCAAGTGATCTGCGGTGGCATAGCTGCTTCAGGGAGATGGAAGATGAATTTTTTGCTAGGACATGTGTGTTAAGTGTACCCATGTCATACAGTGTGTGTTAAATGTACCCATGTTGTGCAATACCCAAGGAAGCCAGAAGAGGGTGCAAGATCCCCTGGAATTGGAGTTTTGGATGGTTGTTAGCTGCTGTGTAGGCATAGAAACAAACCCAGGTTCTCTGCAAGAGCAGCAGTGCTGTTAACTGCTGTGACATCTTTCTGGCCCCACTGTTACTTATTTTAAGTAGCAAATTTGAAAAGTAGCATAATTAATAATTTTTACTTGAGAAAAACTGTCCTTCGGCAACTAGTGAATACAGTTTCCTGATGCAGATTTTTTACTACCCTCACTGAGCGTACATACTGCAGAATGTGACGGTCTAAGCGTATACACTGCCGAGTGTGACTGAGAAGTGCTGGAGGTTCCAAAGTGGGGGGGCTGGGGACGCCACCTTCAAAACGGCGACATTTCCTTTTGAAATGTCAGGCCCATTACCCCAAGACCAAGAATTTCAAAACAGGAGCTGGAAAATGGCTCATTGGTTAAAAGCACCTGGGTTTGCATTCTAGCTCCCACATGATGGTTAACAGCAGCTCGTAACTCTAGTTTCTGGGGTCTGACACCATTTCTGACCTCTGTAGACACTGTACACATGGTGCACTTATATATCTGCAGGCAAAATACCCATTTTCAAAATAAGCTGGGTGTGGTGGCTCATGTCTTCAATCCCAGAATTTGGGAGGCTGAGGCAGGACAGGATTACCACAGGTTTGAAATCAGCTTGTGCTGCAAAGGGCCTATCTCAATAAAAATTGTGTGTGTGTGTTTGTGTATAGATGCACAAGACTATGACTATATTCAGTAAACAAAATATTTAAGACCACTGAAGAACCTGTTGGAAGAGATGGCTCAGGAAGCTATAGACGAGTGTCTGCTAAACAGGAACATTCCCAGGATATAGCAAGTAAAATGCGCAAGCAGGAAAATACACGGCTGCCAAAAGGGTAAATTTAAGGTTTGAACATGGATGTTCGAGGCAGTTTTATTTAACGTGGCTCTCTCACCCCCTGGTTTCTGGTGGGTTGGTCAGTATGGCAAGGGCCCATCTAGACTCCTTGTTGGGAAGCCCCACTGCTCAGTAGAGAGGCTGACTGGAACACACCTGCAGCTGGGAAGCCTCATCCTGAAGATCTGTGAAGTGCCCTGGAGCCAGACCCGCAGCCTGACTCGCACCCTTCATGAGGACAGGGCTGAAGAAAATGCAGCTCATTTCCTTATTTAGGCCAATATGTGAGGTGAAAAGCCAGAGATGACGTGATAGGCACAGGGGAGTGGGAAGTGGGGGGTGGGGGAGGGCTAAGCAGACCCTCAGAATGACGGTAATGCTTTACATGCTGCAGAATCAAGTAAAACTGAGCACAACCAAGGGAAAGCACCCTGGAGGGTCTGGGTAGGAATGCACTAGCCCATAAGCAACATTTGGACTAGATCCTATAAGGAAGGAATAACCAGATATTTTCTTGGTGTCATAAGGTTATTTTTTTATTTTTTGATAAGGGTGTGGACTATGAATTAGATTGCCTATACTAATACCAAGTAAAAGTTTTTCAGTTTTTTTTTTTTTCTTTTTGAGACAGGGTCTCCCTGCATCCCCAGCTGGCTTAGAACTCACTATGTAGACCAGGCTGGCCTTGACCTCACAGAGATCCTCCTGCTTCTGCTTCCCGAATGGTAGGATTAAAGGCTTGTGCCACCATGCCCAGCAAAAGGTATTTTTTTAAAGATGGTCTCCCTGTGGTCCCAGTTGGCCTGGAGCTCATTACATAGACCAAGCTGGGAGATCCTTCTGCCTTTGCCTCAAGTGTTGAGATTAAAAGTGTGCCTCTATACCTGGTCTGCAAAAAAGTGTAAGTGTAATAAAAGCCTGCTCTTAAGAATAAAATGAGCAGACTGGGAAACGCCAGAGGAAGTCGGGTGGAGGTCGGAACTAGACATTTGAGAGCAGATGAACTTTAATATCTAGCTCTACTCAGAGTAGCCAAGTAGTAGTGATCCAACAGCAGAGGGTGGTCTGGGTGGTCCACTGAGGGTGCAGGAAGTTACCTGTGCATCCTGAAGGGTTTCGTTGCCCAAAAAGGCAGTGAGCTGCATCACAGTGCTTTTCTGCCCACAAAATAAAACAGGTGCCCTTCAGTCTATACATGTTTGGCCAGAGAGCATTCTTAACAGTAGGATTTCAGTTCGTAGAGGAGGAAGGAGTGATGGAAATGGAGTCGCTGTTGGGCAGACCACAGCACCGCTGACTTACCAGTAGAAATGAAAGTAATGAAAAAAGATGTTCTGGACCGGTGAGCTGGCTTAACGATTAAAGGTACCTGCTCCCGAGACTGATCTGAGTTCTGTCCCCAGGTCCCGTAGAGTGGAGGGAGAGAACTGGTGCCCACAAGTTGTCTTCTGACCACGCACGCACCCCCAACCCTCAAATAAAATGCAATAAAAAAAAAAGATGTTCTCATTGTTTCCCCATGAGACGTCCACTGAGGAAACAAGATAGCTTTATCCTGAAGAAACACGGCGGGTGCCGTCTGTCTGCCGCTGGTTTCACACAGGCCACACCAGGTCTTCTGTACACTTTTGGCAAAGTACATCATTGCAATTTAATAATTAGGCGATGCCCGGCAAGCCTGAATTGGAGGGGAGTCTATGAATCAACTGCCCATACTTTCTTCAAAATTGTCAAGATCATGTAAGCTGAGGAGACTAGAGACAACGGAAGAACCAGAGGGCCCAAAGCTGTGGGGAGCAGGGTCTGCACTGACATCAGAAGCTGAAGTATGAGTGAAAAGAAAACGAGTGGTACCTTTTACTCAGTGGTCCTGGGCCAGCAGCCTCAGCATTGCCGGGGACCTTACTGGAGAGAGATTGTGGAGCACGTGCCCTCAGATCAAAGCTGCATCCAACATGCCAAGTGATGCTTTGCCTGGTAGCCACAGGAGCTCTGCACGGGCTGCTGTGGAGAAGGTTGACGTGTTCTGTGAAGTGAGGAGAGTGGGAGTGGACACAACATGCCACCCTTCTGGGTTTGTCTGAAAAAGAAAAACATACCTGAGAAGCAAGTTCCCACAAGGTCAGAGGTAGGAGTAAGACACTGCCCCAAATCCTCTGAGGATTTCTGAAGTCTGTACAGTGTTAACAATTCAGAACTTCCTTAAGAAAAAAACATTTTTAAGTTGGGCACTGCTGGTGCACGCCTGTAATCTCAGTACTTGGGATGTGGAGGCAGAAATCACAAGTTCAAGGCTGGTGCGGGTGGGCTATTTATCAAGATCAAGCCAGCTTGGGATACACAGCAAGGTCATGTCTCTAAAAGATAAAAGGATGTAGTTCAGCTGGTACAGTGCTTGCCTAGCATATATTAAGCCCTGGGTTTGAGCCCCAGCATCAAATAGTGTGATGGCACATACCTATAATCCTACCACTCAGGAGGAAGGGACAGGAAGATCAGAAGTTCAAGATCATCTTCGGGCTATACCCCGAGTACAAAACTGACCCAGGAATAGAGACTCCATCTCAAAAAGTTAAAAAAAAAAAAGGGGGGTTGGTGGGGGTGGGGCGAGGTAAATCAGGTGTGGTAGTGCATGCCTTTAATCCCAGCACTCGGGAGGTACAGGCAGAGGGAGTCTCTGAGAGATCCAGGCAAATTTTTGTGAGATTGAGGCCAGCCTGGTCTACATTGTTCCAGCCCAGCTGGGGCTACAGGGAGACCCTGTTTTTTTTAAAAAAAAAAAAAGCGTGTGTCTGTGCGCATGCGCCGTGCAGAGGGATCATAAGAGTCAGAGACTCATGGAGTTATGCTGTTCACCACATCCAACCCTCTGAAAATAAGTATTACTGATGATAAATCAGATACCAATATCAATCAGACATTGGCTAAGCCAAGAAAATGGCACTTCTGGTCAGACAATACCAGACCTTGTGGTCTTGGCTGCACTCCTGGCACTGTTACGGCTGGGGCCACCATCTGTGCAATGCTCTCCAGCAAGTGCCAGGTCTCAGTGGCAGGGGAGAGTCCTGTGCCTGCGCACCCTGCACCTGAAAGATATGCAAAACCCAGTGATATGTCTCAAAGTCCGAGACCACAAGCTTTGAAACATGAAAACCAAAGTTTTCAAACTAAAATGAAAACTGAATGTGCTACCTTCAGTTACCTACCAGCTGCAGATTGCACCTGTCCCGCTTCACTTATTCTTAGTGTCTCAAAACACCACGGAATTGAAGAGCTTTCCGTGCAACAGTGCTTTTGCACTGCAAGACCTTGTCTTCCACCAGAACACTTTCCTTCATGACTTTTCACCATTTTGCCACTGAGGACTCCTGTCTGCTGTGAGCCCCTGTGGGTAGATTTCGTTTATTTCCTTTCTTTCTTTTGAGTGTCTGACTAGTCTACATAGCTGTGGCTGGCCTGAAACTCACTGTGTAGACCAGGGTGGCCTCCAACTCACAGAGATCCCCGAAGTGAGTGAATTTTAGGTACTGGTTTCCATTTTTAAACTTAAAATCAGCCTGGTGTGGTGGCACACACCTTTAATCTTTGAGATCCAGGCCAGCCTGACCTACATAGCAAGTTCCAGGGAGGGAGACCCTGTCTCAAAACCAACCAACCAAAAAAGTATTAAAATCTCTTACTCGAAAGAATTTACACAAAACCACGTGCAGGACTTTGAGCAGAGTTCCTGGCGTGTGAGGCTCTCGGGGACAGGGTCACCTTCTGGCTATATTACCTTGCTGCTCTGCCTCTAAAATCTTACTGGTCCTCAGAGTAGAATGGGTGTGAGTTTGTTCAGAACTACAGGTAGGATGTGAGCTGGTGGCACACCTTTAATCCCAGCACATAGGCAGAGGCTAGTGGATCTCTGTGAGTTGCAGGCCAGCCAGGATACAGTGAGATACAGGAAAAGCCAAGGGCTGGGTGCTGGGCGTGTAGCTTAGTGGTACAGCACTTACCTGGTGTGCATGTGGCCCTAGCTTCAATTCCACCAGAACACCACAACTGAAGGTCCTGCACATGCAAGTTCCACTCCTGGTGTTCTGCCCCGCATGACAGCACCACCATCTGCCTTGTGCAGATGGCCACAGTCTCTTAGCCCTAAGTAAGCCGGGAGCTGGCCTTCTCCCTTCTTGACAAGGTTAGAAGGTTCCTGAAATTTTGATCAAGGTCCAAGGCACCTGGGTCCTGTAGGTACTCTCCATGCCTCGCCAGCACTTAGTGGAAGGGCCTTGTGGCCGCAGGGGGTCAGGGGACACCTACATGCTCTGGAAGACCCTGCTATCCACACCAGTCAAGCCCCGTTGTGGCCTGGCCAGATGGCTCTGCAGAGTAGAACTGCTGCTGTTACATCTTTTGGCCAGCGCCCAGCCACAGTGGCATTCTGCCCAATACCACCTCAGCAGGCACCAGTGCACTCCCACACAACGGTTAAGAACAGGCAAGCAGTCTGGGGCTAGCAAGGCCTCCTAATGAGACCTGTGGACTCTTATGCCCATGGCTGGTGTGCAGGGCCCCTTGGGCACTTTGTCCATCTGCAGTGCCCGAGGACTGGCTAGCTGTTACATTAGCCCATACAAGAACTTTGACTCCTCAGACTTCCCAGGCATGGCAGTTGGGATGAGACCTAACAGGAGAGGCAGTGAATAGTGCCAAGCACACACAAGGCACCACCACTCCTTCACAGACAACAGATCGGAAGACTGCCCACCAGGGCCATGCGCAATCTGGACTCCTACCAACTCTGACCTCTTTCCCATCCAATCCTCTGGTGACCTCGAAGCAACTGGTCCACAGAGATACAAGAAACCCAAGTACTAATCTTGATGTCTCTCTCTCACCCCTTAAAGACAGCTTCCTAAGAAAGCACCTTAGAAGTATCCCCTGGGCATGTCTGGGAGCCTAGCTCCCACTCCAGTCATTCAGCTAATGGGTGGCATGCGGCACCTGGTGAGAAGCCAGCTGCGCTACTTAGCTCTACACAGGGAGTACTCTCCACTTGGCATCTGCTCTGCTGCAGCTAATGAATGCCAACTACCAGTGTTATGCAACAGCATAACTGGCTCACAGCAGCTCAAGTTTAAAAATATTTTAAAGACTTTTAAAGGCCTCATGTAGCCAAGGCTTTCCTATTCAGTTCATAGATGAGGATAACTCTCCTCCCAAATACTGGGATTACATGTGTGTGGACAAAAATGCAGGCTTAAATCCACATGTGTGCCAAAGCATGGTGGTGCATTTGGTAGGCAGAGAGAGGCAGCAGGATCACTGCAGTTTGAGATCAGTCTGGTCTACACAGTGATGAGTCCCAGTACCACACAGTGAGAGGCTGTCCTTCCCTCCAGAAAGAATCCACATGTGAATAAAGCTTATTCATCTCATCCAGGTCCTTGGCCCAGAAGCACAGAGCTCAACAGCGATAAAACACTGACAGAACTTTCAGAAACAGGTGTCTAAACAAAAACAGTTCTAGAGAAAGAAAAATGGTAGGTATTCCAATTTAAATATAAACAAGACCAATGCAAGTTTGAAAACTTACAGGATTCTTAGCTTAGTAGGACAAAAAAATCTGAAAACAGAACTTGATATAGAGAGGGGCTGGGTGAACCATGCTTGTAATTCCAACACTGGAGGCTGAAGCAGGAGCTTCTCAAGTTTGGGACCAGCCTGAGCTACACAGTTGAGAATCTTGTCTTGGACTACATACCAGCCTTCAGACAGTGGCTGCCTCTCAGTGAGTCCTTGTTGCCAACGCATATAACTGCCATAAAAAACACCTAAGGTCTTCACAACAGTACTGCAGGGAATCTAGACACTAGGGCAGTCCTGGATTCCCTGGAAGGAACCACGTAGGCTCAGCCCTGCCTGGGAGGGAGACAACATTTACTTGAACTTTGCAGGGTGTGTGTGCTGAGCTCACAGGACAAGCTACATACACACAGCTGCTCTGCCTCTGGGTAGAAGGCCGGCTCTTTTTACTGTATTAAGTATAGTATAAATCCAGTTATTAAACTTTTTGGAAAAATAGTTGGAATATGAACAACCCTGTTTTATTAGAACTGTTTCTTAGGTTCCAGATCTCAGACACTGGAAAATACAGTCAAGATCCAGTGTGAACAGAAGTGAGTGGCCTTCTGCTAACTCTGATTCCAGAGATGACAAGCTCGCCATCCTCAGCAGACATCAGTGCACCTGGTCATCAGCAGATGCAGGCCGGGTTCTCTGTCCCTCTGGAGTGGCCAGCTCATGGGTCCAATGCCATGAAGCAACCTTTGGTCATCAGTGCTGGCACAGCACACTTGGCATTTGCTGGGAAATCTCGAATCCTGATATTCAGTGTGTTTTAAAATAAACCTGGGGTGCAGGTGGCATCACATCCCAACTACAGTTGTCGAGATGCACTAGGAAATCTGACACGTCAATAGTCCTAGCAATATTTAAACTGTTTTCCCCAAAAGTACTTTTAAAAAAGATTTAAAAGTAATGTATTAATTGTAGTGACTGAGGCCTACTTTAAACTGGTGTCGGCAACTCTTATTCATGTCATTCTTTCCCAGAGGAGGACTCAGTTATGGCTTTCCCTAGAACTTACCTGGTGGAGCAGATGGAATTTCTACAGAAACCGAGTGGCAATTTGAGATAGTTCCATTATACAGTACATTTAGAATCTGAAGTATTGTGCAAATTCCAGCACTGCCAAAGAACAGACATTTCTCAATTTGTTCCAAAGAGCAATATTCTGAACAATTTCATCATGTGCAATTGAAACAAATAAAGACAATACTGGTGTTTGGTTTAAAAACACTCTATAGTGTACTGTTTTTATTAAGTGGGTCCACCAGAAGGTGTGATGGCAGATACAGTGGGTGAATTAAGCTGCCTGAGCCCGCTCGGGCGTATCCACACACCAGCAGTGACACAGCCCACTGGGGCTCCAAGGCCAGAGAGGAACGTGGATGGTGGTCAAATCATGTCCAGGTAAAGGCCCAGGGATGGGTGATAGAGAAGGGAAGAGCTGATGTGACCAGATCTTCTCTCTCAGGTGTTAGTCTTTTGGTCTATAACCTGGAAAGGAAGGCTCAGACTTAAATATATTTGAGCAATGTCCACCAATCCTGCTTCAGGTGGGTTTTCCCTGCAGCAGTGGTATCCCTCTCCTCGGACTGAAGGCAGAGGCAGACAGGCCTCCCGCTGAGACACCGCTCTCCTCTGCTAGGAGGGAAGTGGCAAGTGTGTCAGCTCTTAGCGGAGGACGATGCCTTTTCTTTGACAGAAAATGACCAGCTTAACTACGCATGACAACTCGGTCCTTCAGTCAGCTTCCTTAGTTAACTTTGTCCTGGAAGATGTACAAGTTATTGGTGGCGGCTACAGCAACGATGTTCTCTGTGGGGTGCCAGGCTGTGTGAAGGATCTTCTTATTGAAGTCCAGACTGTCCACGCTGATCTCGTCCTTCTTTCTCTTACCCCCCGTACACACTTTCCGGGGCTTTAAGCTGGCTCTAGGTTTGCTGTTCTCTCTCGAGGCTTCCAGTGTAACATCCCTCCGAGTGTTTCTATCAAACATTCTAAAGAAGTTGTTGTAGGACCCCGTCATAATAGCACTGTTAAAAAAGAAAAGCATCAACACCATGAATACCTGGCAGAGCGAAGGAGCAAGCGCCAGGCCAACGGCATGAAGCCGGAACTTTCCACGAGCTCCCATCTCTATTACCATGCGATTCCCACAAACAGGCAATGTTGTCAGAGAAATGCAGCACAGATTCTACTCAACTTCATGTATTTTCATACCCCAAAGTAATGGATCCATACTTAAATTTTTACAGGGTCTCCCTATAGTCCCAGCTGGCCTTGAACTCAGAGATCTGCCTGCCTCTGCCTCCCCAGTGCTGGGCCTACAGGCATGCACCACCAGGCCCTTAAAAGATCTGTGCTTTGTCTGCATGCTACAGCTGTACCGCATTTGAACAATGCCCAGAGGCCAGAAGAGGGCACCCAGCCCCCTGGAGTTAAGAACAGGCATTAGTCACCAGGTGCTGGCGGGGACGGGGACTGAACTCGTGGCCTCTAGAAGAGCAGCCAGTACTCTTAACCACTGAGTCATTTCTCCAGCCCTAAAATTATTTTATGATTTATTTTATGTCTATGTGTACACGTGCCTTTTGAGTACCTGCAGGGGTCAGAAGAGGGTGTCAGGTCCCTTGGAGCTAGAGCTACCGATGGTTGTGAGCTGCCTGACATGGGAGCCAGGAGCTGAATTGGTTCTTGAAAGAGCAACAAGTGCTCCTAACTGCTGAGCCACCTGCCAACCTCTGGACTTGTAGCTAATTATAGCAATGCATTTATTTTTCTTTTTTTGAGACGAAGTCTCGTTATGTAGCCCTGGCTGGTCAGGAACTCACTATGCAGACCAGGCTAGCTTCCGACCTGAAAGCCTGGTATGGTGGTGCTGGTATAATTCCAGCACTTAGCACGTGTGCCTTGTGTATGGAGGATGGAGCTTGAGGTAGAGTATCTTCAACTGCTCTCCATTTCCTGATGCAGGGTCTCTCACTGAACCCAGATGTCTCTCATTCTGTCGTCTAGCTGGCTAGCCTGCCCTGGAGATCTGTGCTGGGATTACAGGCAGCTGCTACACAGTGAGAGTTTTTTGCTTTTTGTGTTTGGGTTTAGAGACAAAAGTTTCTTGATGCTCAGGCTGGCCTCAAACTTCCTGTGTAGCCAGGGATGACCATGAACGCCCAACCTTCCTGTCTGGTTAGGGTTAGGGTTAGGGTTAGTTAAGGACAGCTTGGGCTACCCGAGACTGTCTCAAAAACCAAAGTACATCCCACAATGCCCTGACTTCCCTGGTGAAGCAAGACCAGCATCTTCTGTCATCTCCTCTGCAGTCCTCGCACTCTCCTGCTGTCTCATCAGCTGGTAGTCTGAACAACATCTAGGTGCTAATTTTCAAACCACCATGCTGTTCAGGGTTCTTCCTAGTTGTCTGCAAATACTTAAAGTGTCTGGTTAACCTTGCCTAAAACACCACACCACAAACAGATAAACCACCCCCACCATGCTCCCACCAGCTAGCTATTCCTGCTTATTTCAAATCCACGGTTGAAACACAAGAATAGGTGGCACCACAGGTGCTGGAGATGCAAGCCGTGCCACAGTGCATTCAGAGAAGGCGCCTGGAATGCCTGCAAGCCGTGCCACAGTGCATTCAGAGAAGGCGCCTGGAATGCCTGCAAGCCGTGCCACAGTGCATTCAGAGAAGGCGCCTGGAATGCCTGCAAGCCGTGCCACAGTGCATTCAGAGAAGGCGCCTGGAATGCCTGCACGTGACTGGGCCTGCAGGTGAGGACAACTGTACACAGCCCTCTCCAAATTCATTTCCACATGGGATACCGTGCTTCTGAAAGGGCATGTGAGTGTGCGAATAATGAGAAGCATACATTCACATTGCTGTAAACACAGTAAGGACAAGAATTTAGAAAGACGACAGCACTTCTCCGGTGGATGAACTGCGGGTGAACTTAGCAGTAAGCAGCAGGCGCCTTATTGTATTCTTGCACGAAGGGGGGCATCTCCTGACCTGCCCAGCACCTGACTGCAGTGGGAGAACCACGGCCGGCTCAGGTCTGCTCCTGGCAGGGATAGAAATAAACACGCACCAAGTGCTGTTTGCCTTTGCTCAGTAGGATGGAGCAACGTAAGGCAGAGCCTCCCAGTAGCAGGGACCAGGCAGTGACAGAGACTGTACCAAAGGCTGGGCTCCACTTCATCGCGGCCTGTGGGAGCAGCTATGGGGCAAATGGAGGTAAGTCTGCGGGGGCAGACTAGGCAGACATCACTGGGAGAGCCTGGCAGCTTCTTAGGTAGGAAACTAAAACGTTTCGATACTGTGTATACCAAAGGGTATAAACCCAGATCCCGTAAGCAATCTCTGGGATGGTTAAATTCCACAAAGTGTCCTCTAGAAAGATGATCTCCCATCCTGTCCCCAGAAGGGCAATCTCATTACAGCAGGTGAGTACAATTCCCATGCAGTTACATTTAGAATAGTTGACTCTTTTTCCTGTTGTAGGGGAGCAAATCCAGGACCATCACACATTAAGAAGCTACTGTGTTACTCACCTATATTCTGTTATTATTTTAAAATATTTTATTTACTATTTTTATTTTGTGTCTGAATGTTGTGCCTCCATGTAGGAGGTAAGTGCAGCCATGTCGTGCAATGCCCCACAGAAGACAGAAGAGGCTGTCGGATCCCCTGGAACTGGAGTTACAAACAGTTGTTCGCTGCCTTGTGGGTGCTGGGATTTGAATCCAGGTCTTCTGCAAGGTCAGTATTCTTTTTTTATTTTATTTATTATTTTTATTTTATGTGCATGAGTGTATTGCCTGCATGTACGTGAGTGCACCCATGTCGTGCAATGCCATGGAGGTCAGAAGAGGGCTTCGGATTCCGTGTTTTACATTCATTCAATGTGTGCTTATACTAGCTCCATGGAGATGATATTAGCTTCCGTCCTTCTTTCCTTCCTTCCTTTCTCTTCCTCCCCCTCTTCCTCTTCCTCTTCCTCTTCTTCCTCCTCTTCTTCCTTCCTCTCTGTCTCTGTCTCTCTGTCTCTCTGTCTCTTTCTCTCTCTCTGTCTCTCTCTTGATTGTTAATTTATATTGTGTAGTTACGGGAATTGAACAAACCCAGGCTATTTATTTACTTATTTATTTGATATATATGTATTGTCTTTTTTTTAAGATGGGGGTCTCCCTGTAGCCCCAGCTGCCCTAGAACTCACTATGTAGACAAGGCTGGCCTCAAACTCAAAGAGATCCACCTGCCTCTGCCTTCTGAGTGCTGGGATTAAAGGCATGCACCACCATGACCAGTGGACTTATTTATATTTTATGTGTATGAGTGTTTTTCTTGCTTGTAAGCATACCTGCCCGTTAAGCAATGCCTGAGGAGGCCATAAGAGGAGTGTGCCAGGTGTGGTTGCACACACCTTTAGTCCCAGCACTCAGGAGGCAGAAACAGGCAGATCTGAGTTTAAGGCCAGCCTGGTCTACATAGTGAGTTCTAGGCCAGCTGAGGCTACAGGGAGACCCTGTCTCAAAAAGACCCCCAAAAAGGAGTGTTGGATCCTCCTGGAACTGGAGTCAAGATGGTCACTAGCCACTATGTGGGTGCTGGGAACTGACCCCTGGTCCACTAGAAGAACAACTTAAGAACAAGTCTTAATCACTGAGCCATCTCTCCAGCCCACCACTGCACGTTTAAATGCACTCAGTGACACAGGTCACAGACCCCCACTAGTCTTCGGCACCAAACATTACAATTTAGCTGCATGTTCGCCAGTGACCAACAAGCAGGTGTTGCTACTTCGGACTTTTTTTTTCAGTTCCTGTCTCTTTATTAACTCATGCACAATTATCCGTCTTTTGGTTTGCTGAGGCACGAAAACTACGGACTGCTTCACGGATCTGCATGTCTTCCTATGCAGGCCACACTAATCTCTGCATCATTCCAATGTTAGTACAGTGAACACTAGAGTGAGCACTGTTTTCTTTTTCTTAAAAAGCATTTATTTAGCCGAGTGTGGTGGCGCACGCCTTTAATCCCAGCACTTGGGAGGCAGAGGCAGGCAGATCTGTGTTCAAGGTCAGCCTGGTCTACATAGCGAGTTCCAGGCCAGCTTGGGGCTACAGGGAGACCCTGCCTCAAAAAGACCAAAAAGTATTTATTTATAAGTATGTGTATTTGCCTACGTGGGTTTATATGCATCACATGCATGCCCTTGGAGGGCTCAAGAGGGCCTGAGGTCCCCTGGAACCTGAGTTACGGGCAGTTGTGAACCACTATGTGGGTGATGGGAACAAAACCCACAGTCCTCTGTAAGAGCAATATGTGCTCTTAATCACTAAGCCACCCTCCAGGCCCTACTTCAGGTTTCTGAATGTTCTATGTACCCAAAAGGCCCTCCCAGCCCACTGCTGTCAGCAGAGCACTCGGGAGGCAGGGCAAGGCCTCCGGCCTTCAAGCCCCCTTACCACTGTATTGCCCACTTCTGCCCCTGTTGGCCTTTACTCTTTCTAAAGTGAGTTGGCAGCCACTCTCTTATTAACTCAGGGTTCTTATTATACTCTGGACATTATTTACTATTTTGTGGATGCTTGTGTATTCATGTGCATGTGGAGGCCACTGGTTGGTCCACCACTGGTTGATGTCCTGCGTTTTCTTCAATAGCTCCCCATCTTATTTTTTACAGTCTCCCCGTGGCCCCAACTGGCCTGGAATTCACTATGTAGACCAGGCTGGCCTCAAACTCAAGAGAGATACCTTCCTCTGCCTCCCAAGTGCTGGGATTAAAGGTGTGCATCATGCCACCACCCCCGCCTTAGTGTTATTTTTTAAATTGTTTTTAATGTGTTTTGCTTACATCTGTGTGCATGCCTGGGGTCCACAGAGGCTAGAAGGCAGCTTTGGATGCCCTGGAACTAGAATTACAGACTGCTGTATCCTTTGCAAGAGAAGCAAGTCCTCTTAACTGCTGAGCCATTTCATGAGCCCCTTCCCACCTTATTGAGACAGGGTCTCAAGGAATATGAAGTTCATTGGTTTGGCTCAGCTGGCCTGCCAGTGAGATCCTGTGATCTGCCCATCTCTCCCTCTGAGTACTGAGATTAGAGATGTCACTACCATGCCTAGCTTTTTAGGTGGATTCTAGGGATCCAAACTCAGGTCTTGATGCTTATGTGGAAAGCACTTTACCAACTGAGCCGTCTCCATAACCCTGTGGTTATTTACAACGTTGTTAAATTCTGTGATGCTCTTCTCCAGGGTCTGGGCTTTTGAGACCTTGTTTCAGACCCCTTCCACTTCAGACATTACAAAGGTCGTCTCTGGAGCTTCGTCCAGTCCTTACACATCCAGGCGTTATTTACTGCAGGTGGTTCTGGTTTTTGTTCCCTTGTGACAAGTCCACGGTGCCACAAGCTTTGCTTGCCACTTCCTAGCCGTGTTGTTAACCAGTTCATCCTGGCTGCAGATCCTCTCTTCCAGTGACCTCTCCTGCTCACAGCTGATGTACTGTCAGGCCAGAGTTTCCTACTAGGTAAACTGGTTTTATAACCCTGGAGAAGGATTAGGTCTTGAGGGCCTGGCCTCGTTCTTGTGGGCGCAGGGTATCGCAGTATGCCTGGCTTTGTGTGCTCTCTCTTCCTCTCTGTGTGATCTCTGCCTTTCTCTCTGGCTCCTGTCATGTGATGCCATTATGAGATCTCTGATAGAGGCTAAGCAGACGAATCTATCCCACGTAGGACTGTCAAGTTTCCAAAACCATGAGCTAAACTATTCTATGTACACCTCTTCTTTATAAAAGCACCAGACTTGGGGACTCTGGAACAACATGAAACAGAGTAAGGCAGGTTCTGTGGAGAAGTCTGTTCTCGGGGTTACTCTGCCACTGTTCTTTTGCAGGCTATCTTTAAGACCTCTCTGCTTTCGGTGTCCAGTAATTTCATTATCATGCGGACACGGTCATCCTGTGTTAATTTTGCTATGATTTCTGTGCTTCCTGAATGTGGATCTTAGACTTTGATAAGATACAGAAAATCCCTGGACATTGTAACTTTAAACTAGGGAATATTAACTGCAGAGAAGAGGTCTAGTTATCACGTCAGTACTAGCAGTTCTGGACACTACTGCTCTCCCCTGGCTGTGTAGTACCCCTTGTCCCCTTCTCTGTGCCCCATACTGTTCTCCTTTGGGGGACATGGTCTCGATGCATACACCAGGCCTTGGCCTCCCAGTGTCTGCTACAGGCATGTGCCACCATGCCTCCACGCTTCTTGAACTTTCCTATTTCCCGGTTCTTTGGGTCTCCGGGTTGGGTTCTGGTACGTTTCAGTTCTACGATGATTTGTGTCCGAATCTCCCAGGACACGTCTAGTCATCTTACACTTTGTTTAGCTTTTTTGGATGTCCTTCACATGAACTTCGAGGACTCTTATACTGTATCATTACTTAAATTTTCTGCATTTGAATTCTTAGATGTTATGCTAGGTGTGGTATACACACAGAACACACCCGCAATCTGAGCACTGAGACTGCTGAGGCAGGACTGAGTTGGAGGCCATTCTGGACTACATAGTGAGAACCCATGTTAAAAAAAAAAAAAAGGCTGGGGATGTAGGGATGACGCTTAGTTGGCGGAGTGCTTGCCTGGTGTGCGGGAAGTCTTGGGTCTCTTCCCCAGTACTACGTACACTGGTGTGCGAACACACACCTACACATCCAGCACTTGGGAGGTGGAGGCAGGAGGATCAGGAGTTCAAGGCCATTCTTAGCTACCTCTAGAGTTTGAGGCCAGTCTGGGACATACAAGACTATCTCAAAATAAAAACAAAGAGATTCTTAGAAATTCGGTTGTTTCTGTTGTCTGTGATAACTTTTTCCTGTGAGCTATTTAACTGATTTCACAGTGGAGAAGGTCTGAGAGCTGGGGAGCGATGTGGTGATGATGGGCACCCTGTGTTCTCACTGTGTTTAATTAAGATTTATCAATCTTCCTAGCTGGGAACCTCAAGGAGGGGGGTTCAAAATGCAGCTGCTTACTGTACAAACTTGAGGCTCCTCCGGGCTCAGGGTGAGTTGGCTGCAATGCCAGCCTCAGTGCCTGGCCTCTGGCAGGCTCACGTCTCACCCTAGCAGTCTGTGCCAGATGCAGTGCATGCTGCTTATTGTGGCCGGAGGAATACTGTGCTTGGCCTCTGCAAGACACTCTAAACTGGCATGCCAGTTAGTCTGTGAGAAGGCCAGGAAAGGTTTGTCCAAAGATGCCAAGCTCACTGGCCCCGGGAGGCACTCAGCTCTTCAGACGTTCGGCATGAGGCCTCCACGCCACACAGCTGGGAAGGACACAGACCTAATTCCTGTGATGGTTGAAATGGACATATCTCAAGGATGACCTCTGGAGGCTGAGGCAGCAGCTTCCTGGTGTCTGTTGATGCCAAGGCCAGCCCAGAGCTTTGGGGAGTTATTTCCATTCCAGGTTCAATTTCCCCTTCATTTCTGGTTCTTGAAATTTCTTGTAAGTTCAACTATTACCTGAAGAAGTAACTGTAGAACCATAGCTATGTTTCTAGGTGATTAGAGATGGAGTCTGGTTATATAGCCCAGGTTAGCCTTGAATTGGTGATCCTCCTGCCTTCACAGCCAAGGGCTGTGATTAAAGGTATGTGCCACCACTCTACTAGGTATTTATGCTGAAGGGTTTTTCAGAGTCTCTAGTCACTTAAATTCTGAACAGAAATTGTACAAAAAGATGACATAAGACAATCTGCTTTATCACCTGATATATGGCTTCTTTTGGGAGGATGTCAAAGACCTTTCAGTCATGAAACCACCACACTGTACTTAACCAGCATTTCAGAGCAGATGTACTGGAAGGCAGTGCTCTAGGCTGTTTCTTCAACCTCTTCAAATACAGAGGGAAACTGAATAGTGGCCTCTCAGACTAGCGAATTACTTCCTGCTTCCTTCCTTCCATTCACCTGTGCAGTCAAACACAAGAACGGATTATCCACGAGTATTCTACATGCACCTTGAACTATGGCTCTGTCTAAATGTGGGTGCACGCATGGTCAGTGGGAGAGCAATCTGCTCAGATGCCTGGCTCTCCCCTGGGTGTTTCACGAACAAACAAAAGCCTAGCACACACAATCCCATCAGCATCCTCCTCTGCAGCTGACTGCAGTGACCTCCCTGGTGGCACTCAGTCTGAGGGTCCTGCTGGAGACCCTGAATGAACCAGCACTCCTACACAGCCGCACGGTGGGTGCTGGCAGGCTCACCTGTCCGAACCATTCCAGCAGCACTCGAACTTGTCAAAGATGCAGTCATTTTCGTACAGGGAGCAGAGCTTGCTCCGCAGGTACTCATGCACCTGGTGTGTCTCGACAGGCCTGCCCTCCATGTTGAGGTCCCACACCTTCACCGATAGATAGTCTCTGGTCATCATGTAGCGACCACTGTGGCTGAACTTGACATCAGATATGGATGAGATTATTTCTGAGAAGAAGGACCTACTGCTGGGGTCTTCAGGCTCTTCAAAGACTGAAAAACAAAGTGAGCACTTTCAGTTTCTGGGCTGTCAGAAGACTAACCATCTTACAGTAGGACTGCGGCTTCACAGAGACCCTGGAGGGCTCAGTGTTGACGTGGCTGGATCTTCTTACCATCCTAACTTTGCTAGCTTCCTGATTTGTCTTCTGTTTCCAAAGGTGGGAAATTCCACCAGCAGTGCCCACGAGGGGCAAGTTTCAATTCCACACAGACTCTGGATCACAGTCATGTGGGCCCCAGGACGTTGATATGCATGGGAACATGACTGCAGCTCCTTGTACCCTCAGGACATTGGCTGGGGACATGATGTGCTGCCCGTCTGCCTATATCACAGGTCTGCTGAACTGACCCCTGCCTTAAGCTGGCAACACACTGGTCAGCCCACAATGAATGGGGCCACTGGACAAGGCCAGGCAGCAAAAGGTCACACTGTACTGTGACCTGAATGGAAAATTCTCATTGCTTTCTTAGTGGGACTGGCTCTGTGCATGGCAGTTCAATAGTCCTTTACTTAAGACCTGTCGTAGAGGGAGGTGCTCCCACTCAAGGCCACTGGATCCCTCAGCACACAGTCAGCCATGCCTGCACCTTAGTAGGCCTTAGGCTGGAAGATACATGTTCTTTACTTGAGGCCACTTCAGTTTCTCTCATTCTTCTCTGCAGGAGCTTGTGATGTGTGCTGGCTCTGCAGGGAACATTAACTTGGAGTTGGCACTAGCTGGCTTCAAGTTAACGTCCCATGCTTTGCTCACCAGTACAGCTACTCCTGGAACCTAAGGCTGAGGAACCCCATGTGGAAGATACAGGCTATACATGAAAACATTTCTTCACTGTAGGGACCGTAACAGGAACAGAGCTCTACACACTTCAGGCCTAGGAACAGCATCTTCCAGTGGCTGCACCGCATCAAGCACCACTGGTGCTGGCACATGTTTGCAATGCCACCCTCCAGAGGAACTGACCAAGAGTCACTCCACTGTGTGTCCTGGGATGAGAGCTGCAAGTTGTGTGCACCTGGGGGCTTTCCGAGATGGCGTACCAGGACACTTCAGCAGACTGTGACACGCTACAAACTTGGGCCTCTTTTTAAAATTTGTTTTATTTTTTTGGTCTTTTTGAGACAGGGTCTCCCTGTAGCCCCAGCTGTCCTGGAACTCACTATGTAGACCAGGCTGGCCTTGAACTCACAAGACCCGCCTGCCTCTGCCTCCCAAGTGTTGGGATTAAACCAGGTTGTTTCTTGGCCCTCGATTGATCCTGCCTCAGCTTCCTGAGTAGCTGGGAGTCCAGGTACACACCACAAGGTCTACTGAGCCTACTTTTTATGGCTACAGGTAAAGACTTTCCTCACCTAGTCTAGACTCAGTGGACTGAACACCAAGGCACTGGTTTCAAGTCCAGCAGAGCTCACCACGAACAGCACCCACTCCAAGAGCTAAGACGCAGGTGGAATGCACTCTGGTGGCTGTGGCCCAAGTACTGTCACACACAAAAAAGGCCATGATGTTGTTCCATCGGACCCATTTCAGGGAGCGCTTATAGGAGGTGCTGAGGTCAGTCAGGGCAGAAGGCTGCTGCTGGAGCACCTCCTCATTAGCATGCCCATGGGGAGCGTCCCCAAGCTTCTCACAAAAGCCAGGGTCCCATGTTCCACACCTGCAGAGGACATGGAGCACCTCCTTTGGTGCAGAGAGCTAGTTTTTGGAAAAGAAAAGGTAGTCACAGGAGACTTACACTTAGAATGCCTGTCACACAGGGCAGAGGAGCGCATGTCACACAGCCGGATGGTCCCCTTGCTGCTGCTATAGACAAACACGTTGCACTGGTGTGGGTGGAACTCAGCGGCAGTGATGACTTCTGTCAGCTCCTCCATGTTAGCAGGCTTGATGTCTACAATATCTGGAGCATGACATTAAGGCACAGCACTTGGCTGACTGGGTTAGTGACGCCAACTGAGGAACTTTGATGGACAACTGTGCAGTGACGCTTAAGGGAACTGTTGCAGGAGGTCAACCTCACACTGTTGCGGAGGAGCCCATAGCAAGAGGTTTCAGGTGGATGTAAGGCCTGCCTGACTGAGGGCAGATGCAGAGATATAAGCCCTGAGCGTCTCAAGCTGTCCTACCAAGTTTCTGACAATGTGACAGGAGACACTGAATGACACCCACCAAGAAGGTGCCCCTACACAACCCCACACACTAGCCACAGTAATTACAAACAGTCAGTTATCTGACTTTAAGAGTTTGCTTGGTGTTCCCAGAGCAACAACAACACAACAGGCAGTCAACCAAGGGAATCAGTCAATGGATTTAAGAAGAGGGGAGGGTGAGGTCCCCTGAGTAACCAAGGGAATCAGTCAATGGACTGAAGAAGAGGGAGGGTGCGGTCCTCCGAGTCGACACGGACACTGAGGGACAGATTTACGTTCTGGTAGAAATGAGTGAAAAGAGCAGCACAGCGGCACGACCACAGCTTGTCACTGGCCACCATGGCGAGAGGAGGGACCAGAGGACTGGGGACGCCATGTGAGCCTCAAGCTGCCAGCCAGCGTCAGGCTGCAGAAAGGAGGGGACCAGGCACACCCCGAGGTCCTCAAGTTCAGCCTGGGGCTATGGGAACCACTGTGACCACTTGGTGACAGCAAGGACGGAGGTACCTAGAGCTATGCACAGCCCCAGATGGCAGAGCAGGGGCAGTATGGACAGTTCACTGGAGGGTTAGGGTGGAGGCAGGTTGGCATTAGAGGAGTCAGAGGCAGGACAATGGCTGAGCCACGGAGACCGAAGATCTCTTACATGTGATTGATTGAACACCATCTTAATCTATGTCACGTTTTCTTTTCTAGTACCTACTTGCAAATTTAAGAGAAAAAACATCCAACACTTAATTTTTCAAATTCAGCCTTACTTCAAAATGCTTCTGACTTAATCGGGTAAGCACAGGCTTCAGGCCTGACCCCTTCCAGAGACCTTTCAGTCCAAGGTCTCTACCTTCAGGGATCCTAATTCACAGAGGACTTCGGTAACAGCTGCAACTACAGAACACACTACGTAGAGATCACACTGAGACACAAGTCTAAGTGGCCAGGAGAACAGCTGCACAGCAATCAGAGGCAGCTCCTGGCAAAGGATACTGAAGCTCCTATCTGTGATCTCTAAATGCCACAGGTTAACTCTCAGGTCATCTGCGGACAGGTAGGTTTCATGGTCACTGTTTACTGAAATGGAATTTACGTGATACGTGTGTGCATTTGCAAAAATTCGCCGTGGGCTTGCTTCTACCATAAGGTCCATGGGCTTCAATATCGGAACCTAAAAATGGAAGGAGAAAGGAGTTCAAGCCAAAGCTACAAAGGGTGAGATCAGAGCGCTGAGGTGACCGAAGGGACAAACAAAGGTTTTACGCAGGGAGCACCCCAAACCAGAGCAGGGAGCACCCCAAACCGGAGCAGGGAGCACCCCAAACCAGAGCAGGGAGCACCCCAAACCGGAGCAGGGCTGCCACAGCCCAGAGGGGAACGTCTTGCTCCAGATGACCTCCTTGCCCCCATCACAGAGGTTACATGGGCTTGCTGGAAACAGGAAGAGAATCTGCCCTAATCAATGGCCTCTAGGTCAGCCACAGCCCAGAGGGGAACGTCTTGCTCCAGATGACCTCCTTGCCCCCATCAGAGGTTACATGGGCTTGCTGGAAACAGGAAGAGAATCTGCCCTAGTCACTTGGGGCTATTCTTGTGTGTTCTCTGGTGGCCACAAATCAAATCACAAATCTTGTCTTTGTAACTGACTACAGTCTCACTCTTACTGCAGTGGTGGGGTCTGCCTCAGTGTCGACATGAGGGCCAGTGACAGTGTGTGTAGAGATCAAGGGACGACAAGAACACCCACTGTGCTACTTACTGACTTGGAGCTGGCTACAGACCCAACTGCTGCACCGTCTGTCACTTGTAGGGCACATAGACTATGCTTCACTTAAAGGTCACGGGGCCACAGCACCAGAGGCTTCTGGGGAATGACTGCTAGGAACAAAGGGAGAGACAGGGAGGAAGATGCCCTAGAGCACCTGTGCCTGACAGGGACTCAAGGTCAGTCCTGAGAAGCAGTACTCCTAAGAGACAAGGAAAAGACCCCCGCCTCATGATCCTCTGGGGAAGGGAAGCTTGAGGGCAAGTAAATAAAAGTTAGCTCTATACACTAGGAGGGAAGCTGGAAGTCTTGGAAGAACCTCTCAGCTACCTTTTCTCTGGCCAAATTCTGTAAAGGTGAGCCTGGAAAAGTGTGCACGGACGCTACTGTCATTTTAGCTCAGCTAGTGCTGACCACACTCAGGTTCCTTTGAAAAGATGCCAGCTCCACTGTGTGCAGGATTAAAACATCTGCCATGACCCTCTTCTGTTTCCAAATAATCAAAGCAGTGGTAACTGTAACTCTAATTCCAAGAGCTCTTTTATCTAAACCCCTTTCACAGAGCTGAAGTAACTTGAGAGAAAAAAAAAAAAATCCTTCAAAACAGCAACAATGTTGACTCTTGCTCAGGCAAGACCCTGAAGACAAGTTTACTCTGAGCTCTGAGAAGAGGTACGAGTTCAAATATGGACTTAAGAACATAGGAGTCCGCTGGCTTGCAACTCTGTGCTTACACTGTACCAGTTTAAAAGCCAAATAAACACTGATCAGACTCGTTTTCTTCAAGCCAGCCCAGTCAAAGAGGCCTGAAATAAAACAAACACTGAGCCTGGTAGGACCAGAGTTTTTCAACGTGAGCTTGTGACATAGCTCACAGAAGATGCAGGGGTCTGACTAGAAGAACTCAGTTCCTAGGCAGGGCTGTGTGTGCAGGTGGGGGTGGAGCTGGTGGCATGAGAGGCAGGACCACAGCAGGCGGTTTCTTTCATTTCATGACACACAGGACTTAGCACCAGCACCTTATACAATGGGAGCTTCGAAACAAAATGTGCCTACATTCATTCACAGACCAGAAACCACTAATGGTATGGAATAGAGCATCTGGGTTCCTACAAATTAGACCTGAGCAAATTTTATCACCTCTCTTAACCTGATGAAGTCATTGGAAATTAGTGACATAAGTCTAAGAGGTGTCAGAGGAAGACTGTCCTGGGTTACTTACCCCAGCTCTGCCCACTGTCTGTCTGTTGGTGGCAGGGACAACCCTCACTGGGCTGCCCCTACCTTCCAGCTTTCTCAAGGGAATGGGGCAGCAGAGACTGCACAAGTTCCAGGTGCTGGGCCTGCGGCTCTGTCACATCTTTCCCAGCAGTACCTGAGACCACTACTTTCAAGTGAACTTCCTAACACACCTTCAACCGATTAACAGTGTTAACAGGGACTTAAGCCTCGCTGAAAAACCTGCGAGGCAACTGTTTTCAAGACATTAGCTGTGCTCTGTTCCTGCTCAGGTGGCTGCTGTTTCCACTGAGCCCATTCTGGCTGGCTCTTTCTAGGTCTCACCAGATTTACCTGTGCACACTTGTTAAGCTTAACCCTACATAACACTTCATCTAATTTAAGACACATGTACCATTAAGCCAATTACGAGACACTGAAATTTTAAATTTTACCAAATTTCATAATGTTAAAAAGTGAAAAAATAAAACTCTCCTTAGTTACTAGAACAGATGACATATGGTCATTTCCTATTCCTCCTAGGTGCCAGGAAGGAAGAGGAGTGTTTGCCATTACAAGCATCAATGCTCAGGGTGACAGGTGAAGAAGTCTTTGGCACATCACAGTGTACCACTGCTTCCACAGATGAAACCTCAGCAGCATTACTGCTAATATCTTGCTGGTCCACTGTTCATCCTGCCACTGGTAACCCATGACATTCTTGCAGCAAGCACTCTGAATTTCTCTGCAGTCCCTCAGCCAGCCCAGACACCTCTCAACAGAAGCCCTGTCACAGAAGTCAACATGAGCTATTCCCTTAGCACCACCATATTTCTGAAGATTACGTGTGACTGTTTGCCATGGTGACACTGAGGAACCCCATTTTCAACCATGCACAGCAGTGAGTGCTAGGCTAATCAGAGATAAGCCATGAGGTCAGAGCCCGCAGGCCACCGGAAAGCAGTCTATAAACAGCTAACGGAACACTGGGGTTCATTTCTGAAAAGTGCTAGAGAGGTCAAAGGAAACGCAGTGTGTACCCGTAGTGCTGTGACTCTAAATGGGTCTCGAAGTCGTCCGTCTTCATCTTTCAAGTTATAACCTTCTGCTCTTCTGTCTCGTTCACTTATTTTCCATAATTTAATCGTTTTATCTGAAAATAAAAACCTTGTTTTTCATATTAAAATAAAAACTATAAACAGCATATGCATCACTATTATTTATACTAGAAACCCATTGTCTGTATAGGCTGTAAGTTGGAAGTACTCAAATATGCGTACCTTCAATTATAAACAAACATTGTTTTGTAATAGAACAAAGATGGGGTCTGGGGGGATGGCTGAGTGGGGACGAGTACTTGCCTGCTGAGCAAGCATGAGGATTCAGGTTAAAATTTCCAACACCAATGTAAATAAAAACCCCAAAAGCCAAACCCCTAGAAAAAAGGCATGGCTGTATACATACCAACAGCACCAATGTGTACACACATGAATGCATGTACCACACACGTGTGCTACACACATACAAAAACTACATAAAGATGTAGGCAAAAATATGAAAATAGTACTGGTCTTCTTTGCATAGTTTGAATTTTCAACCTATTATTTTCAGCCTAGCTGATTAACCTTGCCAAAGTTAAAAGCAGAGACAACTTCTAGAATCATTTAAAATAAGCATCCATCCATAGTAAGATTAACTCAAACAGCACTTACAGAAAACACCTTACCATTTGTAGAGAGTAGAAAATGAGCAGCGTTCTGTTGCGGCAACCACCTGATTTTATTAATTTTTTCTTCAATTTCTAGACTTTTCAAATAGTCAAACTCTGGTTCATGACTTTGAAAGGTACTGTAAACATTATACTCTCCCCTAGAATGAGGGCGGCCTTTATTCTGCAGGGAAACATGACAGCTGTTTTAATGTTTTAAGCACACGCACAGAGACTGTTACTACTACCAATCTGATTATTAAGTAATCACATACATCTTTAAAAATTAAACAGTTCTCAAACAGGTGAAGTGGACAGTTAATGTACTTGGAGAAACAGCATCCTGCAGGCCTTTAATTGCACATCCCGGTGTCTTCTCTGGGCATTCTGGAGTGGACCACCAGTTTCGTGGGCACATGACTCAGCTTGTTTGTAGAGAATGCCCTTTTCCCTCTTTTTGTTTTTAAATTGTTAAACTAGCCCACATTCCTTTTAGTCTGTAGTGTCACTGAAGTTTTAGGGCAAAAGCCCCAGCGCTGGCAGCCCTTACAAGTTAAGCCATTGGTCCTGATATGCCAATCAAAGAGAAGGAAAAGGCAAGAGACACGAAGAGATTTCATCAACCTGGTCATTGAAGGAAGCAAGTAAGAGCTCTAACAGCTGCAGGTCCTTTTTCAGTGTACGGACATGACTTCTAAATTTAAATAGAGGAAAAAACTGAATCAAAGGGCAAGAGGTGTGTGTAACTGGACAGTCTTGGTCAGGTGCAACCTACTTGTCTCAATTCTGGTTCCTGCTGCTTAAGGAGATGGACTGGTTCACAGGAGCTAAGTCCTGCTCCAGAGTGCAGCCTTGCACCCATGGATAACTGCCCTCATGGGGGGTGGTCCTGTTTCTGGAATCTAAGGACTGAAAGAATGACTTATCTCTGTGTTTTAGTATGCACAGTAAGCAGGTGCCCACAGGAAAGTGGACAGGTACAAACGACGGCAGAGATACCACATTTCTATCCCGTTTTGCATTGCCTTCTGAGCCCAAATGAGAAATGAGTGCTTTTAACCAAAGCAGTTTCTAGTGTCTGTTGTAAAAGGATTCAACTCTCTAACAAACTGGATAAACCTGTTGGTAAGACAAACACGACATGTCTGGGGCAGGGGTAGGGGGGACGGATATATATATAAAAAAAAAAGACCTAGGTATTAGTTTTGTCTGAAAGTAAAACTGCTCCAAAATGGAAATAGAAAAGATAACCAGGATGCTGAAGCAGAAAAAGATTTATGAAAAGTGACACTTAACCAAAGATGGTGTGTGTGCATGCGTATGTATGTAAGTACATATGATTAAGTTTAAGTTTACTATTATTAAAGGCTAGTATAAGTTTTCCCAAGGTCAGATATTGCTGAGTAATTATTTCATTAATCAATTTGTCACAAATCTAGGAGCAGGCTGAAGGAGCAGACAGTGCAATCTTAAACATTCTAAGTTAATTTTGGCTTTTGGGTTTTTCTTTTCTTTTCTTTTTTTCTTTTTTTTTTTTTTTAGACAGGGTCTCCCTGTAGCCCCAGCTGTCCTGGAACTCACTATGTAGACCAGGCTGGCCTTAAACTCACAGAGATCCGCCTGCCTCTGCCTCCCGAGTGCTGAGATTAACGGCATGTGCCACCACACCAGGCTTTTAAAATATTTCATTTTTATTTTACGTGTATGAGTGTTTTGCCTGCATGTATGTAAATGCACACCTGTTATAGAATGCCTGCATAGATCACAAGAAGGCACTGGATCTCCTGGAACTGGAGTTACAGACAGTTGTTAGCTGCCATGTGGGTGCTGGGAACTGGGTCCTCTTCAAGAGCAGCCAGTGCTCTTAACCACTGGGCCATTTCTCCAGCCCCTTTTGGGTTTTTCAACAACAGACATACAGTAGACAGCCTAAAAGGTCCACAGAAAATGATTGCAGACATAAGTACAACTGATAGTCTCATCCCTGGGGCTAATATATATGTCCCCACACACAGATAATAACCTACAATCCCATAGAAACCCCAGACTCAAGAAAGAGGATTCTGAAGGGCAATACTTCCCACAGTGGTGGGAAACCAGGACACTGGAACGGAACTCCCATCAGCCAAGTTCCAAGACAGCACTGTGCCCCACTGCAAATAGAGAAACTACTAAAAGGGATGATGTTCCTCCCTCAAAGGGAGGATGGGCTTTCAACTTTAATGCTGGCCACCTCTGAAGACCCAAGCTGGGGCTGGAGAGATGGCTCTGTGGGTAAAGGGTTGTTTGCTCTTGCAAGCATGAGGACTGAATTCGGGTCCCCAGCACCTGGGCTAGCTGTGCTGCAGTAGGGTGCAGGGCACAGGAGGACAGCTGGGGCTTGCTGGCTGCCAGCCTTGCTGAAAAACAAGAAGCCCTAGCCGGGTTCAAAGACGCTGTTTCCAAGGCAGAGGCTCAACACCCTCCTCTTAATGAAGCTTCCACTCAACGTGACCACAGATAATCAATGAGGTATCTTTTCAAAAAAGATTTACACACACACACACACACACACAATCAACAAATTAAAAAAAAAGAATTATATTTGAGGAGGAAGCATAAAAAATTACATCATGCTAATTAGTAGAGGTGATAAACATTACCACTGAAATCTACCCGATGACTTTATAGACATACACAGGCACCAAGGATCCGAATGCAATTGACTATGACTAGTAATAATAAGATACATACAGAAGAGAGACGCATGTGCCAACATCTCAGTGTTACTAGCAAAAACAATGAGTCTTTCTGTAAGAAACAGTATATTTTAAAATGAAATGGAGATCTTTTTTAAAGGTTAAAAACTCATCCAATTTTATGTCTTACAGGGCTTATACTGAGTTCAATATTGTATAACTATATTAATTCAACAGCAAACCTAAAAATTTTATAGTCACTTTTGAAAGAGATGTGTCTTTGCTCTGGAAACTGTTATTGAGCATGTTATAGCTGTAATGAAATGCTTCTTCTAAAAAAATTAAAAAAAAAAAGATTTAAAAAAGTAAAAGTTTTCTTTTCTGTGTGAGTGCTTTGTCTGCATGTATTTAAGTGTACTACATGTGTGCAGTGCCCTTGGATGCCAGAGAAGGGTGTCAAAAGGGTGTCAGATCCCTGGACCTGGAGTTATAAATGGTTGTGAGCCACCATGTAGATGCTGGAATGGAATCTGGGTCCTCTACAAGAGTAGCAAGTGTTCTTAACTTCTGAGCCATCTCTTCAGACCCACCTCAGGGAACTCTTGATGTGAAAAGATGTTAACTCTCTCTCCAGTATTGGGGCTCTAGTCTCTGCCTTAATCAATAACCCAGGCCGTTTACTAAATGAGCTTGTGCAGGAACACGTTGGGGAGAATGCACAAAAGCAAAGACATAACCATTGTTAGCCCCAGTCCAGAGAGCTGCACCTTATAATAAAGGGCCTAATAGCAAGTCCTGGCATTGGGAGTCTTCAGCTAAACCTTAGCACATTCCTAGGTCCATGGCTTACCTCTGCTGCTCTATGACACACAGGCACAGAGGCTGGGGCTGTGCAATGCTGGCAGAGGAGCCCCGTCTAGGACGTAAGTATCTTCTGATGTTTGCTGCTATCTCTTCATGGGGGACAAAGGTGTATCCCACTCAGATTGAAAAAACTCAAAACTCATTCTCTAGAATAAAACTTCTTTCTGGGCTACGTAGGTTCAAGAACATCTTAAAGACAAGGCCCTTCTATCTGAGAACTGTTAAGACTTAAAGTATCTTCAAACAAACAAACAAAAGTCTTCTTAAATGCAAGTAAGTTCTATTTCTAAGTCTATCAGTGGTTGTAACCTTACTTGAATGCTTTGGTTTTCTTTATTTTTTTACCCTCACACTATGTTCCTTTGATTCTAGTCCACCTTGGGATTCCTTCTGGGAACTGTTTGCCACATTATCAACACATAACTATCAGTGTGCTTTCTTCAGTCCAAGAGATGCCACCCTTGAGGATCACCGTCACAAGGCTGGTTCTCTGATGCCATCATGGTCATGGTTCCCAAGCTCCTGCCCGTCTGGGACCCTGGCTGGGACATTCCTGCTCTCTTGTTTGACCTTCTTCTCTGACTCTTCTAGGGTGCAGCAGCAGTTTCAGATTCAACTCCTTGTGACACAGGGATTCCAGCTAATTCCTGCTGCAAGACATCCAATTCTCTTCTCCAACTGATAGGACAGGGAGAAAGTTTCATGGTCCCTCTTCGACAGGGCCCATGTTGGGCGCCCTCAATAGCAGAAAGTAGTTCTTAGAGGACAAGTCATTACCCTTCAGCCCCTCAGGAGATTTCTAGGATTACTTCTCAGGAGCTAAGGCAAGAAAGGAGGGTGGAGAGTGAGGCCCACAAGGCCTCACACTAAGACTGCAAAACGGCACAAGAAAACCCAGCTGGCAAGAGAAAGGCTGGAACTTGACCCCCATGACCAACATGCAGCAGATACAGCATGCTGAGAAGGCCCATGCTATGCAAATGGCTTGTAAAACCCAACCTCATATGTAACACAGCTGTGGAGCCTCTAAATGTTCTTGCTTGGACATGCTTCCTCCCTTGGAAGTATATTCTTCCTCACTTTTTTGGTCTTTTTGAGACAGGGTCTTCCTGTAGCCCCAGCTGTCCTGGAACTCACTATGTAGACCAGGCTGTCCTTGAATTCAAAGAGATCCTCCCGAGTGCTCGTATTAAAGGCATGTGCTACCACGCCTGGCCTTCCTTCCTTTTTTTAAGACTTATTTTTGTGTATGAGTGATGAGAGTTTTGCCTACATGGATGTAAGCGCACCACAAGCATGTAGTGTCTGTGGAAGTCACAAGAGGGAGTTGGATTTCCTGCAACTGGTCCGCTGCAAGAACAGTGCTCCTGACAAGTGAGCCACCTCTGCAGTTCAGCGCATTCTTTCTAAATAAATTCTCCTGCTTTGTTTGCTACTATCCAAGTGTCTCTGTCCAACTACTTGTTCTGGGACACAAGAATCCAGAAACCCTCTGGAGTTACCCATTGAACCCATGATTTTAAGTTTCTGTTCTCTTAAACAAGTGTGAATCTTCAGCAGGGTAAGTGAATCTCTGTGAGTTCCAGGCCAACCTGATCTACATATTGAGTTCCAGGCCAACTGGGGTACAGGGAGACCCTGTCTCAAAAAGACAGAGAGAGAGAGAGAGAAAGAGAGAGAGAGAGAGAGAGAGAGAGAGAGAGAGAGAGAGAGATAGTTTTCACCCCCTCACCTTCACAACAGAGAAATGACTTAAAATAAACCAGTCCTGATGAGTGAGTGCTCCTCATCTCTAGGATCTGTGCCCCACCTCCTACGCAGCAAGCAGTGCCCAGCAGTGCCCTGTGGATGGGGGATAGCTGGTGGGTAGGGGAGGCACAGATATTCTAAATACTCCCTCCCTCATCTGGGCTCCGTCAGTCGGTGGGCAGGATAGAGACCCTTACTCCAGATGAAGAAAGACACTGCCAACATCAGAGCTCATAGTGGGAAGCAGATTTCTCGTTCACTTCTGAGGTAATGTCTGAAAGAAGATTCTACAGAGTTAATCCAACGGGAGTGAATGTAAAATAAATTCAACACTTGAAAAAAATCTTACTTCCTTTTTGATAAGTGGCATGTGCAGAATTTAATGTCATTTGATTTGTAGACTGTAAATTACTGACCTCTTGTTCCCGTTGAAAAATAACAACTCTGCCACCCTTGTCTCCTGTTGCAAGAAGATCTCCAGAGCAGTTAAACTCAACAGCTGAGATGATGTCGGCTGTCAGTAAAAGAAGCAATCACAGATGATGTATGTGAGGAATCATGAGGAATATCAAGAATCAAAAGGTAAACACACACAAACTTTCTCCAACAAATATTCCTGGCCGCTTCTTGGTTCTAGAATACAGCATCCCAGCATAGGGGATTCTGAGAGTCTGATTCTGCAGATCCAATGCCTGGTCCTTGGTGGTGGTAGTTGGGATGAGAAATATCCTCCATAGGCTCATGTATTTGGGCACTGTTCCCTAGTTGGCGGCACTGTATGGGGAGGTGGAGTCTTGCTGGGGGAAGCACATCACCGAGGGACGGGCTTTGAGTGTACACAGTCCTACTCCGGTTGGCTCCCTCTGCTTCCTGCCTGTGGATGGAAGCATGCCTTCTCAGCTCCCTGCTCTAGACGGTTGCTACCATAGACCCCGTAAGCCAAAATAAACTCTTGAGTTGCTTTTGGTCATGGTGTTTTAATCACAGCAACAGAAAGTAACTGATGCACTGGCAAACCACAACTGATCTAGAATGGGTTGTTTTAACAATGTATGGTAGAAATTCAGAAAATTAATTTTTGTTTTATGAGATAAGGGTCTCCCTACAGCCCTAGCTGGCCTCGATCTCACAGAGATGTGCCTGCCTCAGTCTCCTGAGTGCTGGGATTAAAGGTGTATGCCACCTTGTCCATCCTGAAAATTAATTTTTTTTTTTGGTCTTTTTGAGACAGGGTCTCCCTATAGCCCCAGCTGGCCTTGAACTCACAGAGATCCACCTGCCTCTGCCTCCCAAGTGCTGGGATTAAAGGCATGTGCCACCACACCCGGCTAGACAGCACATGTTTTACAGCACTGCACTTCATGGATGAAGCTGATGTGTCATCAATAACATCATTATATAGCAAGACAGTAAGATACTTGAGATTTCTAACAACCATACACAAAGATTTTGGACATGAGTTCACCAGAGGTAAAAAATTATGGGGTTCAAAAAACCACCAAAGTAAGCATTGAAAAAAATCTTCAGTGCCTGAGGCTAGCCCTTAGGTGTAGAGAAAGTTGATCTAGATAACACAGACTGTTAGGTCAAGAAAAACGCCCATGAGTGAGAAAAAGGTGGAGGATAAGACTGGGGGGGGGCTCCTGTAGGTCAGCTGTGCTACCTGTGCCTGAGTGAGGACAGGGTCTAGGTACACCCTCTGAGACTATGGGTATGCCCAGTAGACTGGATTCTGTAGTTCAGGTGGCAGTGTCACAGTGTAGACAGGTGGCTTACTACATTCACTTCGAGGCCAGGCACGCTGCAGACTGACCACTGTGTACATCCATACTAACCAAGGCTGAGCTAGAAATTTGTAGAGATAAACTACTGTACAGTTATAAGTGCCTTCTCTACGAGTAAGTGATAAAAACCAGAAGTTGAGTTGTTGAAGCATCCTTCCAAATGGCCACACTAGGATGCAATTCTTTTTTTGTTATTTTTTCTATTTTATGTGTATGCGTGTATTGCCTGTATGTAAGTGCACCTGTGTGGTGCAATGTCTGCAGAGGTCAGAAGAGGCTGTCAGATCCCCTGGGACTGGAGTTATGGACAGTTGTTAGCTGCCATGTGGGTGCTGGGATTCGAACCCAGGTCTTCTGCAAGAACCACTAGTGTTCTTAACCGCTGAGCCATCTCTCCAGCCCCAGGATGCAATTCTTAAAAGTTGCATGTTAAGATCAAACTGTGTCCTGCCCTGTACTCTTCACTGTATGAAACAGCGGTTTTTTGTGTCTTGCCTTGACTCTTTCTGTCTTTTTCGAGACAGGGTCTCTCTGTAGCCCCAGCTGGCCTGGAAATCAGAGATCCACCTGCTTCTGCCTCCCGAGTGCCGGGATTAAAGGCGTGTGCCACCATGCCTGGTTGAGAGACTCCATTTTACGAGTGGTATTTTACATCATTTTGAGGATGAATGCTGACTCTATCTGGGTGAACACTGTAAACACTCACCATCCACCTGGTACCAGCCACAAGACAGTGACTGATAACTCATTCTTAAAAGTAGAAAGGGTGTCACCCCATACATTTATCAAAGTAAATTGGGACCACAGGCATACATGGGTGTATTGAAATCACTGTGAGCAAAGCTAGGCATGAGAACTTCCAGACTGAGGAAAAGGTGCAACTCCCTCAAGGACCCTACAAAGAGGGTGACTCCTAACACTAAGATGGTGACAGCTCCACAGACCTGTCATCTGACCGGCTACTGACTGCATCAAGGGATCCAAGGAAGTGACTCATGACCCTCTCAAGGATTTTAGCTCTGCTCAGTGGTTCCTGCAGCCTGCTCCAATTGCCAGTCTTTTCATTCAGTCTGTTCCTGTCTGGACCTGCCGCCTGCCAACTCACCTGAACCTGGTCCTACCCTCTGCACCTCCAGTCTCCCCTGTACTTTGCTTCTGGAGCCCAACTCTAACCCTACAGCCCAACTCTAACCCCACAGCCCAACTCTAACCCTACAGCCCAACTCTAACCCTACAGCCCAACTCTAAGGGAGCAGCTGCATCTCCGGAACTTCAATCTGGGTGTGTTATTTTATCCCTGCAGTGGCTCTTTGCAACCCTGCCAGCTTCAGCTTCTCGGGCTTTTTAGAATCTCCTTGAACTATGCGGGGGCCTCTAAGCCTCTGTAGCCGTTCTGTAACTCCCATACATATGCACAGATAGGTAAAGAAACATTACTATGTGATGTGTAATATGATTTGGGCCTTAATATTAGTAGTTAAGATTAGAACTAAAAGACCTGTGTTTGCCTCAGCTGGCTGTCAAGGAAAGCAGGACTACTGGGCACCCTGCTTCCAATGAAACCCAGGCACCTTGTGAATTTATTGTTCATCAGTCTTAATATCCTGGAAAGGTTTGTGTTTCTGACAGTGCACTCTGAACACCGTGCAAAGGTCCTAATCAAGTATTTGACAACCAGCTGCCAACAATTTCCCGCTGACATCTCAGAGCTAGCTTGACCGCATGGGCTCCACCGTGAAGACTGTTTTCCTCGAAAGACTTATTAGGATTGGCCTACACTACTTTTTCTTTTCTGAGAGAATCTCATGTAGGCCAGGCTGACCTTGAATTCCTGATCTTCTTGCCTCTACCTCCCAAGTATGAGGATGAGAGGCATATGCCCCCAGTACCAGCTGGGCTTTTTTATTTTGTTTTTGGAGACAAGTCTCCCTGTAGCCCCAGCTGGCCTGGAGCCTGCTATGTAGACTAGGCTGGCCTCCATCTCATAGAGGTCTGTCCTTTTAAAAAGATTTAAGACCATTTTGATATGTATGCATGTATGTATCCAAGGAGGCCAGTAGAGGGTGTCAGATCCCCTGGAACTAGTTACTGACGATTATGAGCTACCATGTGGGTGGTTGGAACTGAACCCAGGTCCTCTGCAATATGAGTGCTTTTTATTATTGAGTCATCTTTCCAGCCCCACTAGTGTCATCCCTCCTTCACCCACTGACTGAAACCAAGGCCTTGCGGTGCTAGGCATGTGATCCTCCACACAGTTACACCTCCAACGGTCTCCCTTAAACTACTCCTAATTGCTTAAATGAAACTTAACTTTTCTTTACCGGACAAAAAAAGATGAAATCTATGCCCTTTATACTCAGAGGACAGACAGCGTTACATAATTAATGGTGTTCTAGCTGTCAGTGATTTCAAGCTTAATTAAAATGAACTGAATCTTTTAAAAAGGAAACTCCCAAGATTGCCAGTGCTAAGAAATAATTTTCATGAAGCCACAAAATATCTAAGGCTCTAAAATTGGAAATGCTCTCAGTAAAGCCTAGACAAGCTCTAAAACCAAAACAAAGACATGAAGTAAATGTGAACAAATTGTAACACCAGTAAAATTTGAATTATCAACATCAACTCATTCTGAAGGAGACTGCTTCACAAAATGAGACTGATGCTAAAAGCTCAGCCAAGGTAGGACTGCAAGGCAGAGTTATTTAAAAACTACCACGCACTTTGTTGAGGTTCCTCAATCTGCCCTGTTTTTCTAGCAGAGTGTCGTAGGCCAGTCCAGCCAGCACATACCCTCCTACACCTCTGCAGTGTTGGCACAAAGGGTCCACTGAAGGCTCTGGCTGATACAGAAGGTCCTGTTGAATATTTAGATTACTTCACAGCTCGACAGTCCCCAGCTATTTGAACCATCTCAGACTCTCAGCCATGGGGGAGGGGGGCATGCATCCTATTCTCCTTTCTTGTTCCTGAGATGCTGGGGTGATAGTTCAGCATTCCACTCCCCAGGATACCTCTCTGAAATGCCAAAGCACAGACCAAAGGGCTCAATGTACAGATACTGGAGTCCTCCAAGACTACTTGCTCACAGAACTGTCCACCCCCTTCACAATGGCTCCACTCTCAAAACAGAATCCAAACCTCAGGATCTGTAGACAATGAAAAGAGTCAACCCCATAAAGAAGCAATGTGGAAGAAACAGAGAGGTCCACCAGTAAAGAGTTAAAGAACGGACCACGCCAGTAGTGGTGGCGCATACTGGTTGGATATGCTGAAGAGGCAGAGGCAGACGGATCTCTGTGAGTTCAAGGCCAGCCTGGTCTACATAGTGAGTTCCAGGACAGCTGGGGCCACAGGGAGACCCTGTCTCAAAAAGACCAAAAAAAAAAAACAAAAAAACCCAAACTCAAAAAACCCAAAAAACCCCCCAAACCCCACACGGACCACTAATGTCTTTGAGAGCTGCTGCCTTCTATTTTGATCACCAGTGCAGGACTAAGCTCCTTCTGGGAGCACACCCCTGCCTCACCTAGGTGGGTAAGCTTGCAATAAGGGCTGGAAGGCAACTACTATCACCCCTGCCTACAAAGGCAGATGTCAGCTGCTCCTGTTATAATGTCCAGGAAAAAGAGAAGGCCGGAAATGTAAACATCGTAAGAACTGCAAGGCCCAAAGGGCAGCGCACAGAAAGATGGACACAGGAAGGGAAAGAACCAGAGGCATCATCGGC